TCTGCTTTCCTCCTCTGTCAGTTTGTTTTTTATTGCACCTGAAAATGCTGCCTCTTGAGAGACAAAGAGTTGCTTTGTGACTTGGAGCACATGGTGTGCAAAAATGGGATTTCCCTTCAAAATCCCTTGGTACTGGGACTATCTTGGACTAAGGAATACTCCAGACGTGGTAACTATGAATCATTAATGTTTAGTTAAGGCAAACAGCCCTAGCCTTTGTTATTTTTGTAATCTCTGTTAGTCTATGCTAAGCTCTGTACTAAATAAAGATTTCTCTTATTGCTAAATTGTCTTTGATGTTGTAAGTGAATTCCAAGGCTAAATCCTGTGGCCTACACGCTCCCCATATACGCTACCATTGGAGAGGAAAGGTGTGCATCTCTGGAGTGAGTTGCTAAAGTGTTCTGTCCCAGATGCCAACTAAGGGTTTGGAATCTCTCCCTTAGGAAAGGCAGGGAATAGGGAAAAGAGATTCTGGTGGCAAATTGTTCTGGAAACCAGAGAGGGTATAGACCATCTCGTGGTTTGTTGTTTAATGTACTGAAAAGTACAGGATTCCCTCCCATTCCTGGACTGGCTTGGGTGGGCAAATACCTGAAACCAACATAGATGGCCCAAGACTGGAGTTATATGGTACCTGCGAGCTACTCCAGTCAACATCTTGGCTGCAGTTTCTGAACACTTTTCAAGGGCAGCCCAACACAGAGTGCATTGCAGTAATCTCATCTGAATGTAAGCAGGTTATATTGGCCAGATCTTTTCTGCCCAGAAAAGGCTGCAGCTGCCTAACCAGTCAAAGCTGGCAAAAGGCACTCCTGGCCACAGCTGCCACCTGCTTATCCAGAAGTAGGCTTGGGTCCAGGAGCACTCCCAGACTCCAGATCTGTTCCTTTAAGTGGAGTGTAACCCCATGCAGAACAGACGACACTTTAAATCCCAAATCAGATCTTTCACCCATCAGTAGGACTTTGCCTTGTCAGGATTCTTCAGTTTATTAGCCCACATCCACACCAAAACTGCCTCCAGGCTCTGATTCAGTGTTTCTGTGCCCTCTCTGGGATCAGATGGAAGTGTGAGATAGAGCCGAGTGTCATCCACATACTGGTGACAACAACCCAAACCAGATAACCTGAACCAGTGGTTTCAAGAGTGTAAGGGCAAGTTAGAACTTTGTGGGACCCCACAGGCCAAAAGCCAGGGGGCTGAACAGCAGTCCCCCTGCATCACCTTCTGAAACCCACCCTCCAGGTAGGAACAGAACCACTGCAGAACAGTGCCTCCCAATGTCAGAACCTGGCCACACTAGTGGACCTCCTGATCATATCTGGGTTTTGGCCACTGCATGACACAGAGTGTTGGACTGGATGGGCCATTGGCC